ATGAAATGCTTCAGACTTAATATTATCTTTGCTGAATACTTAATTGAGAAATGTTGTTAAAAAGGCATTTGGCTTAAATGATGTAAGTGTATGCATAGATATTTCTTTTCTGACGGTAAAGTGGCTTTGAATGATTTTTGTTATTATTAGGAAATTAAAGAAAAATTTGCCTTAAAATGTTTAGTGCAGTATTTTTTTTAGAGTGCATGGCTTTGTTAACCACGAGGTAGGAATTGCTATTGAGGATTTCAAAAGTCTAGGGAGACAGCAGGGTGTAGTGATGGAATTGTATGGGCTCTGGAAGAAAGGAATCTTCAAATTGAGCACCCTCCGCTCACTACATCTTGGATATGAGGAAATGAGGTGCAGAGAAGTTAGGGGGCTTTCTATCTCCCATGGTGATCCAAGGTTTTCATTGCCAGGTCTAATTCCATGGCTTCTCCATGGCTTCCAGGTGGGAATAGGGTAAGGACGCACTCCTCTTCCAGTTTACTCCACAAGTCCTCCTCTGTAGTTCTGAGACCACATTCAGTGGCCACAGCTGAGGGTCAGGAGGCATGGACAGTCAGACAAGATAAGTCCCTTCTAACACTTTGGCATCAGGACACAATGAGTTTAGTTGTCTCCTTAGTCGGATGGTTGCTCTGGGCAGCAATAAACTATTAGTCTTATGTAGGAGTGTGTGCAGAAGCTCCAAGCCTGTAGCCTGGTAGGCTAGAAGGCCCTGATCTCAGCTCTCACCCTTCTAGCTCTTGGCTGCCATTTTCTTGAGATTTAATTGTGCTGCATGCCCTTGGGACTTGTGCCCAGCCCCAGCTTCTTTAACTAAAGGTCCTTTCCTTTAGCTAGCTCTGGGTCTTTCATTTTCTGAAATCAAGCAGTCTCTGATTAAGTATCATGGTCCTCTAGATTCCAGGAGAGTTACAAACCAAATTGTTCTAATGCAGTTCTATTTTCTTAGCAACTTTCATCCTAAAAAAAAAAAAAAAAGATATGTTTTCATCAAAAGAAGAAAATGTTTTTTAATAGATAAACTTCCAAATGCTTTGGTTCATGAAACTTTAAAATTTTGGTCAGGCCATAGAATTCAGGCTTTGGAAACCCAAGAACAATGTGGAAATTCTCCTTCAAATCTTTTTTATTTTCCTTTTCCTCTCTTGGTTCTTATTTTCCTTTTCCTCTCTTGGTTCTTGTTTTCCTTTTCCTCTCTTGGTTCTTGTTTTCCTTTTCCTCTCTTGGTTCTGAAGAATTTCTCCCATGCATACATTCTGGTAACTCCACATTCATAAGGCCTGTACCTTGGCTTCCTATTCCATTCATTCAATCATTCAATCATTTATGCATTCAACAAACCCTCATTACCTACTAAGCATGTGGTATTGTATTATGTGCTGTGAATTCAGGGATTAATAGGAAAATTTCTTCAGGGTACTCAGTTATTGGGGGAAGCAGACAGGAAATTGCTGAGTACAGCTCTGGTGGAGGTGGTTACAAGGTTGTCTGAAAGCACAGAGAAGGAGCAGGTACCTCATTTAGCTGAGTAGAGCTGGGGGAAGGTAGTCAGAAAACACCTCCAAGAAGTGAAGATTGAGTTGAGGCTTGATGGCTAAGTATGTCAGTTCATGTCCTCTGGGAAGCAGGCATCAAGATGGAATTAGACATCAGTGAGGGATACATGAGGGAAGCAGGAGGAGGTGAGGAGGGCCTTCGGACAGGGAGGCAGGTGCAACTCCGTGGAAGGAGAGGGGAAGGAAGAAGGGGTAAGTAGAGAAAGCCTCAGTTGGCAGCACAGTTCTGAGAAAGTCTCAGCCAGGCTGATGGGAAGCTCCTGAGCACAGACTACCCATCAGAGAGGTCTGATGTAAGGCAGGAATGACCCAGTGCTAGTCCCAATCCCTCTCCTCTCCGTGCTTTGTCATGGGTGCAAACAGCCTGGAGAGATGGTTCCCCCAGCAGGAATTCTGCAAGCGATCCTGAAGGTGTGGCAGCTGGAGGCTGTCAGACAATGACATTACTCCCAGGACATTTTCTACTGGAGGGAAGTCTGAACACTGCTCTCCCATGGCTGCCACACTAAATGAAGCTTACCCTGGTGAAGAAGGTGGAGACAGATGCTTCCAGCAGGAACGGAGAGCATGAGCAAAGGCCTGATGGCAAAAGCGACCATGACAAAAGAACACACAATGGGGAAACGACAATCTTTTTAATAAATGATGCTGTGAAGACTGGATATCCACATGGAGAAAAGTGAAATTAGACCCTTATCTCAAAACATACACAAAAATCAACTCAAAATGGATGGATGAAAAATTTCAGTGTAAAACCTGAAGCTATAAATCTGCTAGAAGAAAACATAGGGGAAAAGCTTCATGACATTGGTCTGGGCAAAGATTTTTTCAGTATGACCCCAAAAGCACAGGTAAAGAAAGCAAAAGTAGAGAAATGAGATTGTATCGAACTAAAAAGCTTCTGCACAGCAAAGGAAACAATTCAGGGTCAAGGGAGAAAATATTTGCAAACCATAATCTAATAAAGAGTTAATATCCAAAATACATAAGGAATGCAAACAACTCAATAGCAAGAAAATGAATAACTATTAGAAATGGTCCAAACACCTGTATAGACATTTATTAAAAGAAGATATACAAATAACCAACAGGTAAATGACAAAATGTTCAACACCACTAATCATCAGAGAAATGCAAATCAAAACTGCAGTGATATATAATCTCATGGCTGTTAGAATGGCTACTATCAGAGTGCCCAAATATAACAAATGTTGAAGAGGATGTGGAGAAAAGGGAACCGTCTTACACTGCTGGGGGGAATATACATTAGCACAGCCATTATGGAAAACAGTATGGAGTTTCCCCCAAAAAAACTAAAATAGAACTACCGTATGATCCAGCAATCCCAGTGCTGGATATATATCCAGAGGAAATGATATCAGCATATAAAAGAGATGTCTGAACCTCCATGTTTATTGCAGTGCTATTCACAAGAGCCACGTATGGAATCAACCTAAATGTCCATCAACAGAAGAATGGATAAAAGAAATATGGCATACATACACGATGGAATACTATCCAGACTTAATAAAGAAAGAAATCTTGTCATTTGTGACAACAAAGATGAAACTGGAGGACATTATGCTAAGTGAAATAAGTCAGTCACAGAAAGACTGTATGATCTCACATGTGGAATCTAAAAAAGTTGAAATCATAGAAGCAGAGAGTAGAATGGTGGTTACTGGAGGCTGTGGGATTGGGGAAATGGGGAGATGTTGGTCAAAGGGTACAAAGTTTCAGTTAGGAGGAATAAGTTCTGGAAACCTAATGTACCGCATAGAGACTATAGTTAACAATATTGTATTGTATACTTAAAATTTGCTAAGAGTAGAACTTAATTATTCTCTCTCCAAAAAGGCAACTGTGTGAGATGATGGATATGTGAATTAGTTTGATTGTGGTAATAATTTCACAACGTATACGTGTATCAAAACATCACGTTGTACACATTAAATATATACACTTTTTGTTTCTCAGTTATACCTCATTAAAGCTAGGAAAAAGAAAAAAAAGAGCGAATGTGGCAAGCTTGGGAGAATCACAGGTAGTTCAGTGGACCAGAGAGAAGTTTGACTTTAGGCTTAATATAAAGGGAGTAACTGAAAGCTTAAAAGAAGGAGAATGACAGAGTAAAATCTCCTTGACTGCGAGTTTAAAATGTCCACTGAATCTGGTTGTGCAATGGATACTTTCAGCCCCCAAATGTACAATCTCTTCCTTATAACTAAAGGTGTCTGCCAACCGGATGGAAAGGCTCACACAATACTATTGTGTATTGAGCACCCAACATGTACCAGGCACTATGAAGCCCCAGTCCTATAGTAACTCATTTAACTCTCTCAACAATCCTATAGAGAAGGTCCTGTTATGTCCTCATTCACAATTGTGAAAACCGAGGCACAGAGGGTATAGTAACTTGCCCAAGGGCATACAGCCGAGAATCCTGGGACTTAACACACTGTCCTCAAGCCTCCACTCTCAACCACCATACTCACCTTTTTTCAAAATTTTTTCTCTGTAGAGAGACATGCAAGTGAAAAATTGTCCCATAGGTATCTCCTACTCACCCCCATCAGCCTATGTAAGAAGACTCCTTAGAAATGTGAGGGAGTTATACAGGTGTGTGTGGGATCAAGCGGTCATCTGGAGGGAAGCACAGTGTTTTTTCTCCTCCTAGGTTCCACTTCCCACCACACCCCTGCCACCAACCAACTGGGGGGCTTCAGGAGAAGTGTTCTCATCTGTGTAATAGAGCCTGCCAGAAGGGGCACCTGGTGACCCTCTTCAGAGGTCTAATTCTGTGCTGCAGAAACCTAGGGACCTGCTCAACCTGTGCACTGGAATTCTAGAGAGAGCTTGAGCTGTCCCTAGGAGGCTGGGAGCATTCTCCAGCAGAGACCAGTAACTGCTTTCTGCCTAAAGAATCTGGAAGGAGGAAGAGTGGCTGGAATCACCTGTGATGGCAGGTGAGGGAGAGAGGGCAGAAAGTGTAGCAAGATGGCACTCCTAAGACTTGGAGTGGCAAGGGTGTGGGAGCTTCTGGAGACCAAGCAACTTCTGTACAAGGTAACTGGGCTGGCACTGATTCAAAGAGACCCTACCCAAGAGAGCTGCCTGCTGGAGTGAGGGGTCCCAGCAGAGAGAGGTTGTGGGGTGTAACAGACTAGGCAGGAGTTGAGAGGGTGCCTTTTTACTGTAAAGTTCTATAGTAACTCACATAAACCTCACGACAATCTTATAGGGAAGGCCCTGTTATGTCTTCAACAGAGACAGTACAGTGCTGGGGACATTTAGAGGCCTCCCAAACACCCATGGAAATGCTCCAGGAGAAGGCATCATTTGAGAGCCTACCTAGAGAGATCCAGTGATGGGATTATTAGAGGGTGGCCAGGGAAGTGTGACTGTACTCTTTTCTCCCACCTGTCTTTCCAGACTCCAATGTGTCAGAGAAGAAAGGAAGACCCAGAAACAGCCAAGGAGAGGGGCTGAGGAATGAGAGATGAAGGAGACAACAGATTGTCCTTCTCATTGCCAAACCTTAGAGTGGGCCCGAGGGGATTGGACTGGGAAATTAAAGGTTCCTGGAAGGTATGGGCGCTGAGTAAGATGTCAAGGGATAGGGAAGGGGGAGCTGATAGTTACAGGTGCAAATGCAGATGTTGGAGCAGCAGTCTGTTTCCTATTACTACTCCATCAACTTCAGTCCATGTAACAGGCTAGTTTTACATGTATCTACTGACCAGCCACATATACATTTAGTCCTTTGAGAAACAGGATACTATTATATTCATTTCACAAATGAGGACACTGAAGCTCAGAGAATTGAGGGTACTTGCCCCAAATCTTCAAATCATTTCCTTTTTGGTTAACTTCATAAGTTTAATATTTTTTATGTCATAAAAAGGGAGATGACCACACTTACAGTGTCAGCGCAAAGCCTAGGGAGGTTTTGAGCAGGAATGGGAAGGGACACCTGGCCGTGGGCCCCCGCTGTGGCAGGGGGCTGTAAGGTTGGAGACAGTCTAATTGCCACCCTGATGACTTAACCTCAGCTGGGGATGGGCATGTGGACACATAGAATGGTTTCACCTCTTATTTTTATGATGACTGATGCCAGTGGACAGTCAGTTGTGGGAGAGGCATGGCAGGGAGGGTGCTGTGTAGAATTCACAGCATGCCTGGAAGCTACCACCAACCCAACTTAGTAGGCTCCAGGGAGAACAGCCTTTGCCTTCCCACATTCCCTTTAGGCTCCTGTGTGATCTGTTATAATGCACATATGTGCACATACACACACACACAAATACCAACACATGTGCATGCATGTACAACTGTGAATACATAAACACACATGTACATGTGCATGCACATGAGCACAAACACATGTACACATAAATGTCTACAGACTGGCGTGCACACATATGCATACATGCAAATGCAGATCCACATGCCCATATACATGCTCACACATATGCACACAGACACATGTGCATACAGGCACACTCCACAGACAGACACACACACATGTGCACCCACACCCAGAAATGCACATCCATGCACAAGCATACATGCATGCATATAAGCTGCTTTTATGTAGCAATCCAGAAATCAGTTTCATGACCTCATAGACATACTTCTTCTATGAGTCAAGGTGGTATAGTAAGCTCAGAAGAAGGAGCTTATTTTCCTTCTTGAGATAGCTGATTTTCCCCTGAGGAAATGATTCAGAAAAATGTTTCCTTTCTAAGTCAGAACAAATCAGAAGAGAAATTTTATGTCAAAACATTTGTTTTCTTGACAGGGACAAAAGTGAAGTAGCCCCCTCATCCCCTCATCCCTTTATGCCCCCTTGGCTCCTCTATCTCATAGTGCCTAAGGCATGCAGCTTCATGGCTCCAGGCCATGGCTGGATGGGTGCCCTCTTACAGGGCTCCATCATGAGCCAGACTGAGCAGCTTCCCTGCAGAGAAAGCTCGGGACCAATGTGTATCCTTATTCAGCATGGTTACTTGATCCCTGTTCTAGCCCATTCCCTCTCTTGTTCTTAGGACTACTTAGGAATTGAACGTGCTGAGACTTCCTCTCAAAGGAGCCCCTCCTTCTTAAATGAATCCAGGAGGCAAGTTCTGAAGATTGTGGTCTATGCTAAAGGAATGCCGATATTTATAAATCTTCATCTGCAGTGAATGAACCAAGTCCAAATGACAGTCAAGGAGAACTGTAAACAGGAAAATAGGGCTAAATCTATGCTTCTTGGGGAGGAAGAGGAGAGAGAGAGGAGGAGAGAGAGAGAGCGAAAGAGAGAGAGAGAGAGAGAGACTTCTCCTGGAATAAATCAAGGGAAGTCTGGAAATGGTGGGTGGATGGAACAGAAATCCCCAAGCGAAGCATGAACAGGTGACAGGCCTCTCTTAGGCTAAGGGGCTAGACTCTGTAGCCAAGCATTGAGCACCAGATGTGAACATGATAGAGTTGTCAGTCAAAAGAAACTGCTTGCCTATTGTGTAGCAGTTTGCTGCACTTTGAACAACCAGCTGGAGTGGTGGTTCTGGAGTAACTGCCTCTTCTGGCCTAGAATGTATATAAACTTCGCCAAAAAGGCCCAGAGCTAGGCTGGCAAGGGGTCTTTCCCTGGAGAGAGCAGACCACCCACATCATTTGGGAGACCACTTTAGGCTCATCCAGGAGGCCTTTCGATGTGTCTGTTATACTGAAGATAGTGTTTTGAGGTCCCCAATCTTTCTTTATGCTTCTGGCTGTCATACAAAAGACAAATATCAGGAGAGAGAAAAACTTTTAACTCAAGTAATAGCCTAAGACCAAAAATGAAATCAATTCAGTGTTATTAACAAGAATTGCTCAGATCTCCTGCTACAAGAGAAAAAAAAGAGGGAGAAAGGAAGAGAAGGAGAGGGGGAAAGTGGGGGAAGGGAGAGAGGAAGAGAGGGATAAGAAGAAAGAATGGAGGAAGGAGCAAGGGTGAAGGAAGGAGAAAGAAAGGAATATGACAAGCGTCAGCACAGATCCTCTTTGGTGTGTATTAAAAACAACACAGGAAGTTTTTTATGCCCATAAAAACTGCCTTTTCCCATTTGCATTGACTATGTGGCCCTCAAGGTCTAGTGTTATATTCTCTCACTTTTGATAAACACATGGTAGCAAGATATAAAAACAAAAACATGAAAAATACCAATATAGCCATGTGGATAAAGGACTACTAATATTTAATCTCGATGTTAGGGGCAATAGGGATGGGTAGGGACTGTGGCTAATTGGTGCACATCAATCCTATCTAAAGGGGGACATCACTAGACTCCTGTTACCTTGAGTGAATGCAGAGCCTATATTACCAGAACTGATTTTGTAAGAGATATCGAAAATTCAGTTTTATATGAAATCTCCAATTTGAACGAGTTCTTTGCAAAGCCCATGTCAGGCTCCATTTATATTGGGGACTTCCGGTTTGTCACCTGAGCCCTAAAAGGACAACTGAAATGTTAAAAATGTGACATCCATTCCTCTTCTCAAGTGTTCCACTTCCCCTCCACCCCCCAAACATAGTAGCGGAATTTTAAATGTTAGCGTAATTAGGACTTTTAAATTAAATAAAATAAGCAGAGTCTTTCTTTTTTAAACTCTGTAGCCATGTTTAAATATGCCCCCCATATTCTTTGGCACTCTTCCCATTGCAAGGTGGCATTTATTATGCCCTCTCCTCTTGAATCTGGGTAGTCTTATGACTATTTTGACCAATTGCTTATGGAGAAGCTGACACTATGTGACTTCACACTATGTGACTTCTAGGCTGGGTCACAAAAGATCATGAAGTTTCCGCCTGATTCCCCAGGAATGCTTCTTGAATGCTTGTTCTTGGAATGTTCAGCCTCTCATGATCCTTCTCAGGACAGACTCAGAACCCAGTTTCCAAGCTGAGAGAAACGTGAGCCCCATGGAGTAGTCACGCTTAGGCACTCTACTGGACAGCCCCAGCTCAGGTCCCAGTGAACAGCCAGCCACCGGTCTAGTATTGCATCCTCCCACTTTTGAAAAAGACACGATACTAAGATAAATGTTTTTCTTACTATAACGAGAACAAAAGCAAGAAAAAAGTCGTGTACATCCAGCCTTACTGAGCCTGCAGGAGACTTCAGCTCCAGCCACTATCTAGCTATGGTGGCTGGAGAGACTCCAAGTGAAAAACGTCTGGCTGAGTCCACTCAATTCACAGAACCCAAGAGACAATAACATTGTTTTAAGTCACTAAGCTCACTAATCTTATGGTGGTTTGTTAAATAGCAATAGTAACTGGCAGAAGCATCTACTCCAGTCAGTATAAGCATGAAGGGCTCAAACGAGATCCCTCTAGCACTGCAGCCTCACCTAGTGCTCGACTCACTGGCATTTGTTGTGTTGTTGCCCCAATTCTCATGGTGCTGGAGGGAGGGGCAAGGCATTCCTCAGAAAACCGAAGCATCAGCTAGCTGGGAGGGCTGCCAAGCAGACGGGGGAGCCCCAGCTTGGAGCAGCCTCCACGTGAGACAATTAAAATGTGAAATGTAACATTTAAGGAAAGAGCCTGACTTTACCTTTGCATCTTGGAGACTTGGGATGCAGAAGACCTGTCAAGTCCTGTCCTCTCCCCACCCCCCGTCCTCTCCCCAGCCCTGATCACGTTTCTGTCTTATGTTTGGACATAGGACTCAGACTTGTGTACACATGGAGAACAGTGTCTGGCGCCGAGAACACAGAGCAGCTGAGAGCTGGTGTTTCTCCTCTTAGGAAAAAAATGACAGAGAGAAGAAAGAAAAATAGGGAAAAAAGAAGGAAGGGAGAGAAGAAGCAAAAAAAAAAGGGGGGTGCAGCAAGGAAGGGAGAGGGAAGGAAGGGGAGAGGAAAAGAAGGAGGAAGAGGAAGAGATAGAAGAAAGGAAGGAAGGAAAAGTGAGGGAGGGAAAGGAAAGGAGGAAGGAAGAGAGAAAAGGAAGAAGGAAAAAAGGAAGAAGAG